ACACACACACTCTCTCTCTCTCTCTCTCTCTCTCTCTCTCGAAAGAGAGAGCGCAAAGTTGGAGCGCCGCGCAGCACGAATGGCACGAACCTGGGCGAAGTCACGGCTCTTCGTATTCGATTAAACGTGATTTACCTACAAGCTTTATATATATATACATATACATACATATATCGGACGCCGCGCGAAATTAATACGTCCGGCGCGATCGGATTTGCCGGCGGCGTTAAAAATTGAGTTTTCCATTGCGAGCGCGATCGACGATTGCGTGTAGTGCACACGACTACGGCACGATCGATTGTTGCGCACCGAACGCGCACTGTGCGCACATAGTAATTTAACCGGCTTACCAATTTTAATTTTAATTACTGGTTAATTATTGCTGGTTTAATTATTGTAGTAATTTAACCATCGACCGCGCGCGCCGCTCACGCGCGAGGCTATTATTAGATATCGGTCGCAAAACTATCGTTTTGCGAGCATTTCACAATTTTCTCGGAGATCATAAATCGCCGGGCTGTCGGTCGCTTCAGCGGACGCGCGTAATCTTACCGCGAGTGTTCCGCGAACCAGCGTGACGACATTCGCGGGAGTTGCGCGGAACCGACAATTGTCGAGCCGAGATAAGGAGACGGCAGGTTTGTTTAGCTGAACTAGATTGCACTTTCTGTCCTTAGGGCGGAACAAGTATTTAACCTAGCGTTAGAGAGAAAAGAGAGAGGAACACAGTTCCACTTAGCAGTACCACGCTGAGAGAAAATACTAATAAATAGTAAGTACTTATCCTCGAAAGATATTAATAACATTATTGTACGTGGAAATGGCAATGCGATTGACCTATATATAAATCTGGCCGCGCCAAAGATATTGAATCTGCTTGGCGCAATCGGATTTATATGCGGGCCAACCGTTTTCCCGTGTACCGATATAAAATATTTTCCATATAAGAAAATATATATTTTCTTAAAACCTGGAGAAAACTTTAATTTCTCATGAAAGAAATTACTCAGTCTACTTATAAATTAATAAAAGAATTCAAATTGAAGTAATTATCCACTTCAAGAAAATATTTACTATTCTTTTACATATCTTTTTCTTTAATTTAGTTCAGCTGGAACGAACAGGCCTGGTGTGACTTCGTGGTTACTCATATCTTCGCGCTCAAGTTGTCGACACGTGTAGCCCGTGCTTCTTTGAACTTTACATTTGAGACGAAGCGGCGATAAATATTGATCGTCCAACAGTTAACGTCATTACGTTTAAAGAAAAATATTAGTTCGTAACTCGAGATGTATCTCGAGACGTCTTTCGTTCGAGAGGAACTTTCCGCAGAGAGGAAAGAGAGAATGAGAAAGAGAGAGAGAGGGAAAGAGAGAGAGAGAGAGAGAGAGAGAGAGAGAGAGATATGCCCCTTTTGCTCGTACGAAGACGAGCGTCTTCAACAACACCCTCGGGGGTAGTAGAAACAGAAGCGCGAATATTCAGCTGAAGCTGAAGGGGAAAACAGGCATCGACAACGGCATAGGCGGCAGTAGGTGAATGCACGAGCATGGAGGAGCAAGCGAGCGAGGTCAATTCAGCGGTGAGATTGCGTTCCGCGATCGACACGCTTGTATCTGACACTGACCGAAGTATTTTTTAATTAACAAACGGAAGCGTACAGAGCGTAATGTGGCTGTAATTAAAACCGAAGTCGAAGCGCGAGTCCGCCACCACGTGAGAATTTATCGATCGCGGTATATCTTCTTGATATCGTCAAGTGAAACGGAAAATATCCGTCTCGACATTTTTACCCAAGGTCCGTGCAAATTATTCTGGACGCGTAGTGCGAGCTAATTAGACATATCCTTTTTAATTTCAACTTTAACTCCGTTTTTCTCATACAAACATCCTACATGATATTTCACCTGGAGATTCAAAAAGACGTACTTAACGTTCGTATACGCGTCCAGAGTACGGCGCTTTAGTTATAATTGTCGAATTTTGCGATATTCGAAAGACATCTCTTCCCAGGCTGCGGGAGTAAGCAGAGCGGAGAAGTTGATCAGGAACGCGAACAGATCAGCGGACAAATTGGTTATCTATCGGCCGCAGGAATACCGCCGCCGCTCTCTTCCCCTTCGCCATCACGTCGCTCATAATAGAGACCATTAAACGCACCACGCCAGCAACACGTGCCGGCTGCTCCTCCCAAGATTTTTCATCACGAGACGCCGAATCAATATGATCTCTCCCCCATTTACGAGCGCTTCACGAAATGAAAAACTCTCTCTCTCTTTCTCTCTCTCTCTCTCTCTGTCTCTCTCTCCCCCGTGACGCGTCCTATAAAGACATACGTTCGCACTTTCAATCACGAATTCATTTTTTCTCTTTTTAATTCGACACTCACATCGCTCTACGACGATATTTTGCATAATTAGTATCTTAATTATATGCACTGCGAATATAAGTAAATTATCTCGCGCACCCGCGTATTTCTTCCTTCACCCTCGGGTTAATTGCCTGTAATCGACAATGAATCATATCGAATTACTCTGCAAAATAGCTTTTAATTCAGGAGTTTCGCGTTTCCTAGATAATGAGTTTCAAGTTACCTTTGCATTGCAGCTTGCGGTAGGGATTTATTCGCAAAACAACAGCAGAGCGGTGCTGCCCGCGATATCCTCATCGATCGTGCGTGGGATGTACGGCCGCGAAACGCGTCTCGCGGAATGTGGAAACTATTCGGGATAACAATCGCGAGTTCTACATCGGCCGATATCTTCCACTCCAAAACGACTGCGTCGAAACCACGCGATTGCGCTTCTCCTACGCTATGACTACGCGTCTATTTCTTCGCGACGCTGCAAGAGTCATCGGTGTTTTGAGATTCACAGCGATGATATCGCATTTAAAAATAGACATTGCACTGAGAGATTAATATATAAACATATGCCACACAAAAGCAACCTCCTACTGCCCACGCTCTCGTTAATAAAGAAAATTTATACACCGTTAAGACACACTGCGTAACTTTCCATTTCATGGTCGCGCATGATCACTACAGTGGCTTTTACAGCCACTAAATCTCGCGGTCTTTAACAGCCGGACTTTTGTAGCTCTCGAGAGCATAGTTTCCGAGCTATCCATCATCGGTTTACAAAATAACTCCCGCTGACCTACGGTAACTATAAGTATGTACGTATATTAACTACAAATTGAGAGACAGTCAAAATGAGAAATCAAATCGAGGCTGGAAAACAATAGCAAAATTACATCTGGGAACAAAGTCTATTTTGTGCGTATAGTTTTGTATATTTTTTTTATTGTCACGCCCTAGCGCCAATTACGCGTAATAAAATCGAATCCTATCAGAGATATTTGCATTCGGCATAGCCGATAGATATGAAATAAATAACAGTATATTTTATATGTTCAATCAGTTACTGCACGATATTCACAAGTATCGCTTGGAAAAGTTAATAAGAGACACCTATTCAATACTTAAACATGCCTCCTATGTTTAAAGGTTGAAATAATTCCTCGAAAGTAATAATAATATAGTTTCTCACAGGTAATAATAATAATATAATTTAATAATATGCAAAGAGAAAATATTATGCAACTATTGTACTTATTATTCTTATTTGCAATACTATCACACTATTGTCATATATACTTTGCAATATTAATATATGTAAACCACATGTATTATTGTAATTGAAATAGTATTTTTATTGTAATTGTATTTTTATCGTATTATTTTTAAAATAAAAAGCACTTATCTACTACAAAACGCAAGAAACCTTTTATGCCTATAATCTGTCTTTGACTTATACTATTTTCTCCAAATTCCACCACCATCTTGCACATTATATACTCCTAATACAAAATCGGTTTCCACATACTGGTATCAGGAAAGCATAGTGAACGAAGAGGTAGCCCAAAGTTCTAACAAGAAATTTGAAATTGAAGAAATCAAGTTTTGCCGATTTTCGCATTTTGGTATCAGGAGAACATAATCGGCGAAGAGGTATCCGAAATTTTGGCGGGAAATTCAAACTTGGGGAATTCAGTTTAAACAAATTTAATTTCGCCGATTTTCGCGTTTTGGTATCAGGACAACATAATCAACGAAGAGGTATCCGAAATTTTGGCGGGAAATTCAAACTTGGAGAATTCAGTTTAACCGAATTCAGTTTCGCCGATTTTCTGGTTTTGGTATCAGGAGAACATAATCAGCGAAGAGGTATCCGAAATTTTGGCGCGAAATTCCATCTTGGAGAATTCAGTTTAACCGAATTCAGTTTCGCCGATTTTCGCGTTTTGGTATCAGGAGAACATAATCATCAAAGAGGTATCCGAAATTTTGGCGGGAAATTCAAACTTGGAGAATTCAGTTTAACCGAATTCAGTTTCGCCGATTTTCTGGTTTTGGTATCAGGAGAACATAATCAGCGAAGAGGTATCCGAAATTTTGGCGGGAAATTCAAACTTGGAGAATTCAGTTTAACGGAATTCAATTTCGCCGATTTTCGCGTTTTGGTATCAGGAGAACATAATCAACGAAGAGGTATCCGAAGTTTTGGCGGGAAATTCAAACTTGGATAATTCAATTTAACCGAATTCAGTTTCGCCGATTTTCGCGTTTTGATATCAGGAGAACATAATCATCAAAGAGGTATCCGAAATTTTGGCGGGAAATTCAAACTTGGAGAATTCAGTTTAACCGAATTCAGTTTTGCCGATTTTCACGTTTTGATATGAGGAAAAGATAATCAACGAAGAAGTATCCGAAGTTTTGACGGGAAATTCAAACTTGGAAAATTCAGTTTCACTGATTTTCGCATGTAGGTAAGCTACCCATATAGGATTCCTACTTAGTTGTGAGAGGGAAAATTTTTCAACACTTTTTTTTGTGTTTCTTAACTTTGTTTATAATGTATTTAATATATACATGTTATTTATGTACCTTTATCTAAAGTAAAACAATTTCTTCTTTCAGCTGGATCTGACTTCAAGCGTTGGTTTGAATGGTTGGTCCCTCGTTGTCGGTCTCCTCAGAGAGTACGAATGGTTTGGTTACCTCGGAGATAGAGACCGTGTTCTCCGGTAGTCCTAGCTACCTTTGTGGAGGTTTAAGGTGCCAAGGTGACTCCAAGGTTAATGGATTCTGGCCCTACGATGACAAGGCTATACTCTTGCTCGAGGCTGGCTGCTGGTGTCGCCGAAATATCAAGACTGCTTGCCCGGGTAACCTCGCCGTAGTCAAGAAGTGGCATTGCCGAGAAATGGAAGACACCGGCAGTGTGGAAGCAGGGTGAAAATTGAATCTAGACTTTGTCTGGAGTGGTGTCATGTCGAAATGATTACGGCGTCCTTGGCTTTTGCAGGGATGCTGGACCGAATACAAGTGCTCCAGAAGATTGTTTGAAGAAGTGGCCGAGGTTCCTGGCGCGAAATCCGAAACTGAAGAATTCAGTTTTCTCGATTTTGATATCAGGATAACGTGATGAGCAAAGAGGTAGGTCGAAATTCTGACGGAAAGTTGAACTATTATTCCGTTGTTTGGAATAAAATATTTTATGAAGATTGACGAATAATTTGAGATTTATTAATGTATAATTATTTATCAAATATAAAGATGGCTATAAACCTATTGCAAATACAACCCGCCGAATCTCTGACAAGATTGTATATTTCGCGTCAGTTTTCTTCTCATATCGTCCAAATGCACGACAATCGGCGTAGCATGGATCGTCCAAACACGCGCGACGCTGTAATTATGCGCCGCTGTCATAGCGGTAACGACGACGATGACGACGACGCAGGTCACGGCAATTCTCGTTGATGTAACGGCCGAATAAATTCGAATAAAGTTCTGGCCGTCGTCCAAAAATGGACACTGATTTATGCGCCGCACGGCATATTATTACGCGAGACACAGCGGCCGCGCCATGTGTACGAGACAATGTCGCGTCGCTGCCAATTTGGTCCAGCGGTGCGTAAAGTTGCGCGCGTGCGCGCTCGCGCACGACTCGAAACCCGATGATCGATCGCGCTGTGAGCGCAGCGCTCAGGTGAATAATGCGTTCTCGTTCTTCTGTTTTCCTCTTTCTCGCGAACGTTTACCGGTATTGCCGCTCGCTGATGCCGCTTACTTTCTCGCTCGTTTCTCTGGAACGTGCAAACGATGTACATGTAATAACGGGACTAATATTCATTATGTACATTCGCCGTGACGTTAACAATTGAGACGTCGTTAGCGTTATTTTCTCAATCTCTACCTTCTCCACCGACTCTACCTGCATTCCATTGTCTCTCGACCTATTATATCGTCCGTTTGCCAAAGTACTTGGCATGGTGTTTCTCCGAGAGCGTCTAGGCGACCAGAGACGCGATCAACGATGCGATTTATCGCGTGGCTACCACTCATGGGTTAATGACGTTGCGAGCCGCTACGAGGACGAATTCGCAGTCGCGTTTGCGAAAAATCGCGGAGAATTCGCCACCGCCAGCCGGCGGCGTCTGTGGCCTAACCGTGATTTACATTTCACTTAACGAAGATCGATTCGTTCCGAGAACGAGGAACAAGCTTCGTCTGCCGTCGCACAATCGAGACAATATATCTAATAAATGTAATTTTACACATGATAAAGACACATCGGGACGAGATCCAACTTTATCGCACTTTACCGCACGATTACATTCGCGCTCCTTCGCGTGTCTGCATGCGGCTTAGAAACGTCTGGAAATTTAAAAGTAGGCGATTCTCCCGACAAATTATCCGACTCGCTACTTTCAATCAAATCGGTCGTTTAGATCCAGGGCGTCCGCGTATAATATACCCGATAATCCACCCCGCTGCCGCTCACTAATAACGCGCGAGCTCGATGATTGAGCGTAAACATACGCGGCACGAATGCGCGTCGTGCACAAATGCGGCCGTGGAAACGTGATATGCGTTACACGGCCGTCGTCGGATCACGCGTGGGAGGAATAAGCGGAATGCTTGCGCCCGTGCTCGTCTCCGTGCTTTTCGCACGGCCGCTCTCCTCCTCCTCCGACTCTCGCGCGTCCATCTCCTCTCCGTCGCCGCCGCCCTCATAATCCTAATCGAATCCAAGCGGCGCGCGCTGGTGGTGACGACGGCGTCGTCGAATAAATTTGCAATTCACCGCGATCTCAGTTCGGAGCGCGGCTACAGTCCGAATGACAATTCGAGGCGCGTGACTGAATATACACGTTCATCCCCCGTCGGTTCTCTCCGGCAGGTGGGGGTCGTCCTCGAGGACGGAGGACGAAGCGTCGCGTTGGGTCGGGTCGCAGCGATGCAAATCGCTGATTACAAATTAAAATCGGCCCTTGGGGGTGTTCCGGACTGGGGGAAAAGGGAGATGGGCGACGACGACGCGGGCAGCGGTGCGAGAGAGAGAGAGAGAGAGAGAGAGAGAACAGTGGGCGAGGGAGGGATGGGGGCTCTGGCTGCCTATTTCATTTTAGAAAATTTAAATTCAAATCCGGCAAAATGCACAGGACGTCGCGACCGACGCGACGCGACGGTACATATGTATGTTTATATAGATATATGGATGGGTTATGTGTACATGGATTCGGCGGCGTGTCGCTGGCAGTGGCGGCGCACAACCGCGGAAAAAAATCATAAAGCACGCGGAATGCAAAATGCAAATGCCGTCGCGGGACGTTCGCGAAAATGGGCAAAAAACGCACGAGATGTATATCCGGCGCGAAACACGCGCGATGCATCGGGCTATCCCGCGCGCCTCGCGTTACTGCTTTCCTTTCCCTGCCGGTTACATCCTTTTCTCTTGGTCGGGCTTATTTTTGTTTTCGTTAATAACGGAGTGCCCACGTGTGCACGCGTCGGCCATATGCGCGTCCTCCGCATCCCCGATAACCGAGATCTAGATTTCATTACCGTAAGGTCCCATCTCCCCTTTATTCTCCCTTCCTCTTTCCTCCCTCTCTTTCATTCTCTCGCTCTTTCTCTCTTCTGCATACCGACGCGGTCGTTTACACACTAATGTGACCACGAGGACTGAGCATAATGGACTACGCGGACGTGAGCATTTTTCTTTTGGCGAGTAAACGGCCATATAGAGCATGTGGCTCTCACGAGAGTACACGGAGTATTCTTCGGGATAACTCGGTGGCCACGCTGTTTCGCCGTGGTATTTTTGGTCGCAAGCGCACGCAGCGACTGTAACTTTATGAAAATCGCGATATCGCGATCCCGTCCGAGTTATTGCGCCGTCCTAATTTCGCGCGAATTATAGCGTTGTAGTTTCCAGAGGAGTTAAGCCTCGCGCGCGATCGCCCGTAGTTAAACACACAACTCCGTCGAAATAACGGGATTGTAATTTTAACCGGTACAAAGCGGACTGCGAAACGTCGGTTAGTCCGTCAGAATTACAACGGAGGCGAATAGGTAATATTACATCACCGGCGAACTCGCGGAGACACGCGCTTCCATCATCGAGTGCCTCGCGCGCGTCCGGACCGACACGCTCTTTCGCAGGGACGCGGCATTGTTCCGAGGAATTCCAGACACGTGGCTGTTGCTGCTGCTCGGCAGTCGTATTCGCAGTTGCAATTCGCAGTCGCGCGGCTAGTGGAAAGTGACTTATCGTGTCGGACGATCGTGAAAACGCCCGGCGGAAGGACGTAACGCGCGCAACGTACGGCCGGCCCACGTCGACCAGCATCGGCCAGACCCGAGGTCTAATGGAGCTTCCGCGTTGAAATCGCACCGTGGCTGACACAGCATGTGACAGCCAACGTCGTTAAAGCGTTTCACCGTGTCCCGTTTATAAGCTATACTCGCGAAATGGATGAAGGTAAACTCGTCGCGATTTGTTTTTACGCGCTAATTCGTCCGACACAATCAATTTCTCAGTGTAAAATAAAAGTATTTAGGGTGCGATTTATTAGACGCTGCAAAAGCTTCAAGAGAAGCATAATGGGTCCAGTTAGCGCTTCAAAACATTCGTAGCGTTTAATGTATCGCACCCTTGAACGCGCATCTAATTCGGAATATTCTTGTTTTGGTCTTCAGATACGAATATTTAAATTTTCAGCATGGAAGATATATTCAACATACGTACATGTTCTATGATAAAAGTTTAAATATTTGTATCTGACGACTAAAACATTGAGAATGCTCAGAGTTAGGTACATGTCCAAGGATGCGGTTCATTAGACGTTACAAATACTTTAGAACACCATATGGATCATTTTCTTTAAGCGCTTTAAGCTTTTATTTTTATTTTACACTGACAAGTTGACTCGCTGCAATTTTGCCTGCTTAGATAATTGCACGAAGCTATCTTGTCAATCTTTGTCGATCTATCGAATTTTCAAAAGATTTTCGAGACATTTCCCAAACAACTTTTCGTAAATTAAACGTACCTTGATTATGTTGATTACAGGCTGTGTTTACTGTTTCATCGGTGACTACACGCGAGTTCAGACATTGACATGTTCCTCCGAAAGCAGGCTATAAACAAAATTAGAAGCAAGAGCGGAAACTCGTTTAGTGACGTGAACATCTTTATTTATCGCATGGTTCGCGAGGAGCTGGTTAAACCATAATGCGGTTCTCGCATTAAAATCGCTCTCGAGCTGGCGTTACACGTGACAGTGCGGTAGTAAAACATTTCGCGGTATCGCGTTTAAGCTCGGCGAGGCGCGACACCACGTAATTTCGCGCTAATTCGCGGGTACACCGCGATACGAATAATTTTATCGGATGCTGCTATGTATCGGCCGGAAGAGATAAGGTCTGCGAATTAATGATATTATTAAAAGTATCAACAATTGGAAATGTCTCGGGGAAATGTATTGTCGATCTATAAGTAACACGAATGGAAAAGAAAGAATGGTGCTCTTTTATGCAAGCAATCTCAAAAAAATTATATAAACGCGCGTTAATAACAAATGTCTCTCAATGAAAACGTCTGTTAAACTCGTTTACTAATGGTTGACTGAGTACTAGACGAATAAAATAAAGTAAGTAATGAATGGGTGTGCCTTCTCGCGCGGTGCAACGAGAGCGCTGCTCAGCAGCTAAAATCAAATGATGTCCGAGATGTCGCGATTCTTGTCACAGCTCAAAGTTGCAGTAATTGCAACCGCGTCGGGTGACTCGACTTTTCGCGAGTGGTGAACGACAAGCGACAATGCATCATCCGCGACAATACATCTTGGCATTCGAAGAAGACGTTTGGCAACGGCTTTGAATACCAAGAGTACGTTGCAAGTGGTCCTTTCTGTGAGATGTATCACTATCGCAATTTTAACGTTGTATCTCGTTCTTGACTCAACAAAACGGCAATTTTGGATGATAAATTATTCCGCAGAATATCTCGTGAAAGTGGGAGAAAATATATTTCTCCACACGGAGACAGATAATATCCACGAGACTAATTCGCGCATATCGGATGTGCCGATCACCCTCGAATTACACAAAATTCCCACACACACACACACACACAGAATTCTAATTTATCAAATTTCCCGCAAGAATTACACACTAAGGAAATCGACATTTCCCAAATGCCACGTTGACGCCGTGTGAAGCCAATCTCCATAATCCAATTTTCAACATGTGATTTCCGCGCACGCGTGACGTATTGTCAGCCATTCCTTCGAAGCCGAATCAGTCGAATCTTCCAAATTTATATTTTCGTTCGCGAAACATAATTACATGTTTTGCACTTTCAGACATGACATATAGTTGGCCGTTTTACATATTCGCTCGCAAAATATAAAATATACATGTCTTACATATACGCTCGTGAAATAAATTTGCATACTTCAGCTTCCGAGCGAGCTGCATCTACATATTTTACATGTCTTTCCATAATTACCCGCGAAAAAGCTCCGGATACAAACAACACGCGGAGGAACTTCATTCTTGCCGACATGGAGAAACGCTCTGAATCTCTGAATGAAGGAAAGCAGCCCGATGGGGAGGACGAGTGGAAGGGAAATCGGAGAGGAAGAAAGAGAGAGAGAGAGAGAGAGAGAGAGAGAGAGAGAGAGAGAGACTGTGAGAGACTGTGAGAAAAAGAGAAGAGCTTTCGCAAATTCGGACCATATGGAAGATCGTAAAGGGGCGACGACTCCAACCCCCGCGATTCGGCAAATGGATATTACCGACTGAGACTTATGCCCTGCTAGCTGTCAGTAGCCGACGTTCATGTATAAACAGAGGGTGGCGAGATGAGGGCAGAGGAGACGAGAGAGAGAGAGAGAAGCGCGGAAGCGAGAGACAGAAGGGACCGTAGTACTGGAGGACGAGGAGGCATAAGTGGGAGGAGACAGGGAGTAACGGGAACGAGGCGAGGTTAATGGAGTGGAAACAAATTTAAAAACCCTCCCCGAAGGGGTGGGCTGCCTGTGTGGGTGCGTAGCGTTCGCAGGGGCTCGCGGATGTGCGAGCCCGCAGGTAACTGTAATGCAAGTTACGGCGAGCTAACTATGTATTTACGGATCTGTGTATACGCGAACAAACAAGCCCGGCGTTTCGTGCAGACTTCCGTTCGCCGCTTTGCCCGAGGAGCGGTATCGCCTTGTCTTCGTACCGCCGTGCAAACAATCTTCCGGGCGCGAGCGTTACTGCGCGATAACGACCACGACGACGACGCTGTTGCTCGGGAAAATTGCATTCGTAAGTATTATCACGCGCGCGACATGTTTTCGGAGGTGGATCGTAATAAGCTCCCGTGTCGAGACTCAAACCGGAAATGCGACGTCAGTTACAAAGAACCGTTCGTGTAGTTTCAACAAAATTGCATCGCGGATCCGTTACGGCCGTTGTATGAGATCAGACGGGTTCTCGTATCGGGAATTTGATCTTGGAACAATTCCACGACGGAAATAAATCTAGACAATGGGGGGCAGACATATCTCGCTAACTCTGACATCGCCAGATCTTTTCCTGTTTTTTTTTTCTGTTTTCGAATATTGCGGAACTATAACGCCACGGATTTTTAAACGCAGAGAATGTCTGGGAAGATTTCCAAGGTTTTTTACGGGAAACTTATACGCCCTTATGTTTGTTTTCCTTTTTTCCTACGGTCGCTTCGCGATCTCAGATCTCTTCGAGCTGTTTTCCAAACACCCGTCGCGCCAAGAGAGAGAGAGAGAGAGAGAACTGCTTTCACGATGAGAAAATCAGAGACGGAAATTCGGGCTTTAAGCCTTCATTATAATGCAATTCCGACAGTCCTCGCGCATTCTGCAAATAGTCGGCATCGGGAAGAAGGATGCGCCGAATGTTTATAGGTAGCCGAATGTTTATAAAAACGCGCTCGCTAAAAATATACAAACGACGCGATCAAAATTCGTTTCCGGTAGTGGCGTCGAAGAAATTCTCAGATAGGAGAGACGGTAAGACGACCAGGCGGAGAATCATTATGGAGGGAAAAGGATTTACTATGGAGGCTTTATTCTCTCTTGCTGAGGAGAGACAAATGGAAGACGGTGGAGCAAGAAAACGAGGGAGAGCTCGCGAGGGGTACGCGGAACGGTGGCGGAGTAAAAGAACAGTGCATCATGCGCTCGCGCGCCACCGGTGCATTCTCGCGGTGCCGCGCGTATCGGGTTTAATATAAAACGATTTTACGAGTCGAATAAAAAAGCCATTAATCGCTCCCGATTGGACCGTCGCGAGTAGGAGCCGAGGGTAGGCAGATGATGTATAGCGCGGTCCGCGGCTTAACGTACAATAAAGGACTCTCGCGGGAGCGCCGGCGATAGGTCACGGCCTACCGTCGTTGCTCCTATCGTTATTGCGATACCATTCGTCGTTCCTGAGAGCGATCGACAAGGGGCCACCGAGATACGGCTCGTAACGATCCGACGTGGAATTTCGGGAAGGGGCATGTGGGAGTATTACATCGATAACGACGCTTAATCGCCGAATGCTTAACTCCAAGTTTACTCGCTATCGCGGTGACCTAGATCCCCTCGAGTCGCCTAACGCACGTCGTGACGCGAGAATCGTGTGAATAAATCGCGGAGGGCCGCAAGAAGCAGTGATTTTGTACCTGTTGGGGATTTTCCAAAAATTATACAAGCAGATACGATCAAGTTTGCGCGAATATTCGGAAGATTGTGCCGTGAGAGTCGCATGGTTGAGGTTCAAAAGTGGAATGCTCCCCGCGTAAATATTCCCCTCGAAATTAATTCCTCTTTATGCGTATTTTTCAGCAGCCCGCGAGGAGAGAGATCCCGGAGTTACCTTTTATTGCGGAAATATAAATATAGATTAAACGTCGTGTCCGAGGCGTCGTCGAAGGGGCAGCAGGACGTTTTTTACCGAGGCGATAAAACGCACAGCGGTCGCATAGGAACAGCCCCTTCAAGTGGAAAAGGGACGATCGTGCCGGCCACCAGCAGGGGTGGAGAGTCTCGAGGCCGGGACGATGTCGCGGGTCCCTGCATGACCAAAAAGGACGTTACGCACGAAAATGGACAAGACGCGGAGGAGCGCAATGGCTGTTTTGGCAGAGGTTATTTTCCGGACGGGCGATTTCGCCGGCTCAGTGTACTTCGGGGAGACACTACCTCCTTGCTTAAGAAGACGTTACTTCACCCTTATACGAGGGGCGCGCGGGTCGTCATAGGTAGTAGGATCTCGCACGTTTATTAGACAAACACACCCGATCTTCTCCCTCGATTACCGTTTCGGTAAAATATCGCGACGTTCTTTGCCCATCGCGTATGACGCCGGCTCCACTTTTAGCTAAGAGTCGTTCCGGACTCAGAGCGGCCAACAGCGAGGCGCAGTGTCTTTTGGTCAAAACTATGTCCGGAGAAAAGTAGATTCGAGAGATCGCGCACACGATATTTCTTATTTCGATATATTAGCATGTACGCGTTTAATAAAATGTCTGTATCGATTGTATCGAGCTTTGAAGTGAGATATGTACTTGATTTATAAGAATGAAACATGTACTTCTCCTGAAATAAAAATGATTATCCGAAACATCACACTGATTTCTCGCTTCTTGAACCTTGAATGAAAAAATACTTTTCTTGTACTCGAGGTTCCCTGCTCGAAAATCGGGATTTGTTTGCGCAGTCCCCTCTTCTCGAGAGAATATAGGGTGCCATAATATAGAGTGCGACTCGAAATAAGAATCAGGTAGGTGGACTACCGCTTGACTGATCGTGGGGATGACTAGAAGGAAACACTGCGCGCGCTCTGGCCAATGGTGTCACGACAGGTGCTGATACAAGTGGAGGAACAGAATACGAGGGGTGATCCGAACGTGATCCCACCCATACACTCGCGTCCCCGATAAGAGAGTTGTCTCGATGGAGATCACTTCGTCGTCCGTTTCGCGGGTATATAAGTTTTCCCCATCAATGCCACGGTTCGTTGCGGCCTCGCAACGACACGCAATATCCCGACCCAACGCGGTCGATGATATCATAAGGTATATTAAGACGTTATTGACGCCAGTGTTTCCCGCGAGCACATCGTCGCGCAGATCAGACATTGCGTGCAAGTCTGTTTGCTTTGGATTACGCAACGTCGTGATGTCGACAGCACACGCGCACTCCCAGGGTTTCTCTCTCTCTCTCTCTCTCTCTCTCTCTCTCTCTCTCTCTCTCTCTCTCTCTCTCT